CTCCCACTCCCCCTGCTTGTGTTCCCTCTCTCGCTGTGTTTCTCTCTGTCAAATAAAAAAAAAAAAAATCTTTAAAAAAAATAATAAAAATAAAAAATAAAGTTTAATCAAAATCTCTCAAATGCCTAGAATTTAAGAATGTTACATTATTCTGCGGAAAACAAGGGAAACACTATAAATTTATTCAATTTTTGGTATAGATACCAAAATTTAAGACTCTGGTTGTGGCCCACAATGAGAAAAAGGAAGATTGAGCACCTATAAAACCTATGATGTTAGAGCAATAATTATACATCATTAATAAAATTTAATCTGTCCAGTGAACACAGCATGGAGACAAGAAAGTAAAACCGTAATAACTTTGCTATTCAAAGTATTTAAATACTTACTTTTTCATTAGAATCATATCCAGCTGAACAGAGACTACGGGACACCATTAAGTGCTGTCTTGAGTAGTGTGGAACACGCTACAAAAAAAAAAAAGTGAAATAAATTACAGATACCTGAATGGGCTTTAAAAATATTTTTTTAAGGTAATTCTTCCAGTATGCTTCTACCTAAAATATTTTATCAATACATGTAGTTCTAAGCCACATGCCGTTAACTGTAGAAGATAAATCATTAACTACAGTCCTATCCCTTGGGCACACAAGAGAAACCTAAAGGCATCAAAAGGATCTCTAGAAAAATAAGAAAAAAAAAGAAAAGTAAAATAAGAGTCAATGGGTCAATCTTAATTACAGAGAACTGCTGGTTACCACAGGGGAAGGGAATTAAAGAGTGCACTTGTGATGAGCACTGGGTGATGCATGGAACTGTTGAATCACTATACTGTACACCTGAAACTAATATAACACTGTGTTAACTGGAATTAAAAAAAAGGTCAATGGGTCAAATAAAATTTGAAGAAAGGTCTGATTATGCAGACTGACATGGCAGGATCATAAGGTCACATACCACACAGAACTTTATACAACATAAAACAAGAGTCTTGGTCTTTCAGGAGCTTCCATTTTAACAGGGACTGGAAAATCGTATTTTTTGTTTGCTGATGTCTTGAACGTGATTTCTTATTTTTTTCTGGTACAGTGAAAAGGTTATCAATTTCACCTCTAATCCACTATTATGTTTGTGGAAAAAATATATCTTAAGGCTTTAAAACATGAAGAATCATCACTAATAAAATTTATAGTCAAAGGTTTAAGAAAACAATTTACCCAGTAGTCACTGATAAAGCTAGACACCCCCTCCAAAAAAAGAAAAGAAAAGAAGGTGGGGGGAGTGAAAGACAACTAGTACTACCCCTTAGAACTTTCTAAGAGGACAACACAATTAAGAAGCAAATGTTTTTATAGCAACATTTTTCAATAAACTCAGATTCATATAATTTGTAAAGCATCAAGCCCCAAATTACAAAATGTAATCGTAATACAAAAGTGAAGGTAACAGGGGTGCCTGGGTGGCTCAGTCGGTGAAGCAACTGCCTTCGGCTCGGGTCATGATCCCAGGGTCCTGGGATGGAGCCCCTGGGATTGGGCTCCCTGCTCGGCCGGGAGTCTGCTTTTCCCTCTCCCGTTGCCCCTCCCCCCCCCCCCACCCCCACTTGTACTCTCTCATGCTGGCTAGCTGGCTCACTCTCTCTCTCTCTCTCAAATAAATAAAATCTTTTTTTTTTAAAGTGAAGGTAAAAGATAAGATACACTTTATACAATGAAGCCCACAGTACCAAGTAGAAGGCTAGTAAAGAAAATGGTCTGAGACTGGAAAACACACTCCGTACGCCCTCCCTTTTAAAGACGGAAACTCACTCTTGCACACCTTCACACATCCCTGTAAGTTCAAGAGTATTAGGCCCAATTTTAAAAATAAGTAAACGGAGTCTAGAGAATTTTAATTTATCAAAAGTCCCCAGGCTAGGCTGCAATGGTTCCAAGATTTAAGCATAGATCTATTCAGAGCATTCTGGAGTTTATTTTGAGAAAATACAAAATAACGGCACCTCCCACATTAACACCAATGTCTCTGCAAAGACAGGATTTGAGGAGGAAAAAAAAAAAAATTTACCAGGAGGGTCTCACCACTCTCTCTGTGTCCAAATAAAAATTCAGTCTCCACTGCCTTCAGCTGAACAGCTGTAATTTAGCAACTTTACTCCTACGTCAGACTTAATAGGATAAAGGCAATACTTCTTCCCTGGAAATATCAGGTCTTGTGTTTACAGCCTCAGCCAAAGCAGGAAACAAACTAAGAAAACAAATTCTAAGAATAAAGAAAAGCAAAAGCTCCCTGGGAATTTCTCAGATTTACTCTGCTGCAAGGCAGCACTGGGATATTTACACAAAGTAAATAGCATACCAGCTTCCTATCCATTTTATAAAATGTAACAACAAAATAGTTTACATTTTTACAAATGCTCCCTAATGCTGTAAGGCACATAATGGTCTGCTCCATGAACAGATCAACATAATCCTTTTACAAAAGACAAAAATCAAACCTGTGTCTTTCATCACTAACAAATAAAGGCTATAACTGATTCCTGATGCCAAAAACCAAATGTGCCTCTTCCAGAGACAAAACACAACATGGGATGGACATTTCAGGTATTCTAATTAGCTTCGGAGAATAAGAACAACAGTGATGTTTATGTCTGGGGAAGGGAACACTTCAAAAAGCGGCCTAACACCCAGCAAAGATCTCTGGGAAAAGAAATCTGAATTCTAACCCAAACTCTAGGACTTGAGCAAACCACTCTGAGCCCTCTGCTCTCTGCTAAGAAATGAAAGCTTGGATGACTTTTCTATAAGGTCTCTTACTAACCTAAACCACTATTACCCAAATAAACAAGAGCACAGCCCAGGGATATCTAACAATCCTCTGACGATCATGAGAGGATATGCAATCAATCCAACCAAAGTCAACATGCAGGCCAAGAATGTGGTGACCCGGATCTCTCTGCTTAACTACTCTGAGAGGAACAAACAAAAATGCAGAGCTACTTGGTGGAAATAGAGCTAATTTCACAGATTTTAATAAATATGAATTATGAATATGAATTATGCATTAAGTTTCTAGGCTACCTCTGGGAATAAAAACCTCAGGACTCTATTATATGAGCCCATGAAGAATAAGCTAAAAGGAAAGACAGTTTCTCTCCCAGAACCATTCAGAAATCCCAAGTGGCCAAGCTCTGAGCAGTATTTGGGTCAGTTGACTCAATTACACTATACTTACTTTCAGGAAACTACCAGTAACCCAAAACTAGAATAAAATATATCTATGCCACAGTTCCTACAACTAAATCCACTCTATTACAAGATACACCTGGCCAAAATGTAGGACCTGTAGTACTGTACTATGAGTGATTGAGCTGGAATCTTTTTATGACTATTTAAAATACTTGATTCTGAAGATCTAAGACTCTTACCACCAGTATAAAAAAAAAACAAACATAGCTTGTACACATGTGAATTTGTGGTAATGTGGCCTGAAGTATTAAAAAACATGGATTCCCCTGGTTAGCCAAATAACTAGAAGTAGAAATGGTCCAAGCAGAACTATAAAGAAAAAACAAGTGTTTGGGCCATTTTCACAGTGAATCTGAACTGGTTTGTAGTTGGCCCCATAAAGGCTATCTTTGTTCCTGTTTACTCCTGACAGACCTTCATGGAAGCCCAAAGTTATAAAGAACACAGGTCAAAAAATCAGACAATTTTGTGGAGCTACAAGATTAAATTTTTCTATTGATATTTTAATCTCTACGCCCAACGTGGGGTGGAATTCACAACCCCAAGATCAGAAGTTGCATGCTCCAGCAACTGAGCCAGCCAGGTGCCCCTAAATTTTTTTATTTTATTTTTTTATTTATTTGAGAGAGAAAGAGAGTGAGCAGGAGGGGGGAGAGCAGCAGAGGGAGAGGGAGAAGCAGGCTCCCCACTGAGCAGGGAGCCCGATGTAGGGCTCGATCCCAGGACACTGGGATCATGACCTGAGCCATGATTTTTTTTTTTTTTTAAATACAGAGAACAATTAGTAGAAATCCACTAATTTGCTCCTCTACAGAGAATTTTATTCTTTTTGTTAAGCATATAACAAACTGGCTACAAGTCCAGCCCAAAAAATATTTAAAGTAGGCTCCACGCTGGGGGCTTGAACTCACAACCATGAGAACAAGACCAGAGCTGAGATCAAGAGTTGGACACTCAACCGACTGAGCCACCCAGGCACCCCCAGTCCAAATTCTTTTAAGGTACTCCTAAAACAAGGAGTCCTAGGGAAAAACCTAAATCAACTCCAATTATAAAGACTATTTAGCCTATCACAGCCAAAGGAGAAAGGTCGGTGTGTACAAAATGACTTCCCAATAACTCTTACCATTGGTTCTCGTCTACAAAATAAAGATTTCCTATATTTTCCACACTTAAGAAAGAAATGGCTAACGGGGTGGCACATGGCAAGTAGCAGAACCTACAGAGTCACAAGAACTGGGTCAGCTCTTAGCTCCACTGCCTCATAGTTACGCACCACTGAGCAAATCATTTCTCTGGACCCCAGTTTCCTTTTAATAAAATGTGAAGACACCTCCTGGCTTTCCTACAGTTGTTAAAAGGATCACACAAACCTTTATAAATTGTAAAGCACCAACAAAATGTTAAGAGATTACTCAGTAAGTCCAATTATGCAGCTGTCCCCTTCTTAAAGTTGTACCAAACCATTTGGGAGTTACCATTAGAGTAATAATAATCAAGAGCTCTGGTCCAGACTCAGATGGGCACGTTATAGTAAGCACACAGTAACTGTTACCCCAAAAAAGGGAGAAATGCTACAGCTTTTCAACAAACTGGTTACAAGCCCACCAGCCATTGCAAAAGGGGAAACAAATATGTTTTTCTAACAGAGCACCTACTTTCACATTCTGGACATGGCCTCAGGTGGCAGCCCAAACTAGTAAATTTAGTAGGGTTATCTTAAAAATAAATAAATAAACACTAGTTTAAAAACAAACGCTAACGGAAAAACCAAAACTACTGTTATTTTTAACATGTCTACAATGGCATTCAAATGGATACTACTACAATCTGTTAACAGGCTAATTCGTTATCAGGACGCATTCTGCTTCAAAGCAGCAGCTATCCTCAAAACTGGGGATTAATGGAGCCATAAGGTGATCTTACCAAGGTAAAAGTTCAACATTAGCAAATGCTTCAGCTTCAAAATTTCCAAGAAAAGTTCCCCTCTGTGTTTCAGGACACGGAGCTGGGAAGCATCAGCTGAGTATTTACTGCAGCATTTTAACAGCCCCAGAGCGACCTTCTGAGGGAACGCCCTCTAAAAACCCTTAAGTCAGGCTTTTTCACTTAAGCACGGCTTTTTCTTCAAAACAGACATTGACTATTTAGTCTTTGGGGCCTCACTAGCCGGCCCAATCTTCTACGGTCTAATACGACCTTCTGTTAAGAGGGAGGCTGAA